TATTATAATTAATTATTAGTATATATATATATATATATATATATATATATATATATAGCAATGATTTTTTCATCCACTACGTTTACAAGAATCATGTATTGACTTCAACTAAGTAAACAATTAAATTTTACATTTTCGAGCTATTATGATAAAAAAAAAAACATTAACCTTATTTAACGATTACCAAATAACATTTTAAAAGCATGTATTTTAATTTAAAAAAATATAATATTTCTTTATTAGAAATATTAATTATGATTGCCACAAGTTATATAAATATCTAGCATGATAAAAGATTACTTCACAAGTCAGTAGTAGTAGTACTGATTAAAGTAATAATCATAAAACTACAAAAACAATTGTAAACAATAATAATAAAAGTTTACAGTTAGTAATGACTCCACCGCAAGGCTGACCCAGCAAGTCGAACTCTATATCCATGTATTTGCCCTAAAAACAGAAAAAATTATGACAACTCAACCAACCTATACCGAATATATTATTGTACAATACTAACTCACTATATTAAATGGCTATCACTTCTTATACTGGCATCAAACTCATATCATTCAGTGTTTCACATAGCTTATAATGTTAGTAGTGACTGAAAACGTCTTATCTATTAGTGTGTTTTTTTTAAACCTAAGCAGCTGGACATCAAATACATAAATTAGGTTGCTGTTGTTTTCATTTTTTTGCTTAATAAACTTACACTAGTTTATTTAGCCAAATAAGTTCAGTGTAGATGCAACATCCAGATATGATAGTACAGACGTGATCGCACAGTAGGCCTAGCGTGATTGTACTACAGTAGAGTAGGCCTGGCGTGGTTGCACTCATTAGTACGTAACCTAGATAGTTTATTACCAAATTCGATCACTCATTACGTCGAGGAACTGTCGATTAGAGACGAATACTGCTAAATAATCACTGAGTGCCTTACTAAAGCCGCAGGTCTGGCTATCCTTAAACACAAACATCATACTAACTATAACACGTGGCAGTCACATACACACATAATAAATATGATAAAAGAATCTCGGAATAATCTACATTAGCACAAGAGACCCACACGTTCAAAACACAAATAAACACACAAAGAAACAAAATATGAAACTAAAAACAACAACTAAAAGAAGACAGATGGGACTCCTTTTGCTCGCAACTCAACGAACATACCGAACTTCTGGTCATACCGAAACATACATACCTGGTCATACGCAAACAGCCTCAACATACCCAAAACATACTCCACACTCAAGCGTGGAAATAAAATAGTAGAGGCACTCAAAACAGATGACGAACCAAACATGAACATTCACTATTTTAAACGGATCAATGAACATGTTCTACAAAATACATACATATATATATATATATATATATATATACACACACACACACACATCAAGCTTTCCAGTTAACAGTAAAAACACTCAAAACCCACAAAAGTTAAGTAAAGACATCAAGCAAGCAAACAAGCCCCGTTACTATAATATACGTAATCAGTACCAAATTAAACAGACGAAAAATAAAGCTTCTGGAGAAGATGGCATAAAAGTCATCCTCATCAAAAATTAAATCGGACGTTGTTTGACTACTTAACAGCATTATTTAACCTATCCACAACCTCTTGGAAGCATGCAAATGTTATTACGTTCCTAAAAGAAGGTATACCAGCGAATAAACCAGAAAGTAAACGTCCAATCAGCCTGACCAGCTGCATAGACAAAAGTTTAGAAATAATTATAAGTAACAGACTATCCACGTTTTTAGAAGTCATATCAAAATTACCATAAGTACAAAATGGTATCAGAAAACTTCGGCAAACTACTGATCATTTAGTTAAGTTTACTGAAACTACAGTAGATAGCTTTAACAAAAATTAATGTACTGTCGTCTACTTTCTTAATATAAAGAAACCATTCGACACTGTACGGCACAGTAGTCTACAGTTCCGTTTCGCGAGGTATTACTCGCTGGTTGTCTAACGTTTTGGAAAATAGAAGTGTTGAATAAATGTAGAGGGCATTTACTCATAGTACTTTATTCCAGCTTGGATTAACATTGCACCTATGCATATGAATCACAAATTATCAGAATCACAAGCTCATTATTCATGCACAAATATGCGAACATGCGGCTACTCCACGACAGACTCCTAGATAGTTCGATCAAATATTTTGAGAAAAACCTAAATAAAAATGATTTACTAATTTCCAATGATCGCTATATCATACATGATGAAAATTTTGCTAAGTTACTCTCCACAATTAACGTGTTCTTTAAGGCCACCTACAGCTAACGTATATCACGCCATTAGATTGAATTACAAGAGTGTTGAAAAGTGTTTTATGTATAATCGTTTTTCAGAAACTTAACCCAGCGAATAAGTGTATATTATTATCTGAACCGTTTGCAACGTGCAGAACACTCCCACAAATAAATGAAATGACATCAATAATTACATGGTTTCATTACATCCATGGACATTGACCATGAAAAGGGTCAGAGTGTGTACCCAGACTTTTGAATAGAACTTTGACCCGCGTGTTGTAATAAAAGTAGTATTGTATTACAAGTTACAGTTTTACACTAAGTAAAAGCTATAACTTGTAATAAAATACACTTCATCAGTAAATAAACTGAAAAAGAAACAACAACAGTGATAAAAAATAAACCAACAGTAAAGGTGGGAAAAAGAGGTCGTCCAATGCACCTGACCCTACTAGCAGAGGCGTCACTAGGAAATGCCACAGGGGCCCGTGCACCTATTCTATTTGGCAGTTCCCTGTATCCCCAGTCGGTGTCTTGAAAAATCATAATAAAAAAACATAATCGATATAATACTGAAATGCCGAAAATTCCCGTTCCTATGGGCCCGAGCTCCGAATCTTTTAAGTACCTAGCGACGCCTCCCAGGTGTTACAAAAGACCTAAATCCCGATCTGGATTAGCTCGCGTCCATCTGGAAGTATTTCTCTGCTCTTTTGTTTGTTGAGCACAAAAGCTACACAATGGGCTATTTGTTCTGTATCACAACTGATATCGAAGAGCTGAATTTGGCGTTATGAGCCATCACGCTGAATCACTGGGGGCTCTCAGCTATTATGAATGCCGGATATAAATTTGCTTTAAAGTGACAGATGAATATTTTATCCAGGATATATACTTATCGAAACATGTTTGAACTCCTTACAGACATATAAAATGGTTGAGAATAATTATTAATAACATCTGATCAAAAGTTTGTTTGTTTCTTTTTTTTAATTACCTACAAAGCTACCAATGGGCCGTTTGCGCTAGGCGTCCCTAATTTGAAGTTATAGACTAGAAGGAAGAGAAATAGTCAATAACATCCACCGCCTACTCTTGTACTTAACCTTGCCAATGGGTAGTAGGATTAACCGTCACATTATAACGTCACCACAACTAAAACGGTCAGCATGTTTGGTGATGGTTTCGATCCCGTGACCGGCAGGTTTTAAGTCAAGCGCTCTAACCACCAGCTTGATAAATAGTAGGATCCAGTTGTCACTCTTATATCATACCCATGGCCTCAGAGTACCAAGTGTGTTTGTAGCAAGAGGCTGCGAACTATTAATCTTCAGATTCACAGTCCGAGCACTCTATCATTAGCCACGCTCGACCCAGTAAGATAACTAAACAGATGGAACTAAAAAGTAACTTATGAATTGATGAAGTTTACTCTATAGAACAAAATGACAATCATATGTAATGTTACAAGTCAAGATGAAAGAAAACTAAAATCTACAAAGTTTGAGTACGCTATATGAAAACGTATTTGGAGATTTGTTACATAATTACAGACCATGTCTTCGGCCATGCAGCGTAATTTCCATTGCAAAACGCTCGTCGTACGCGTGTTAAGTCCAAAGCACACCCAGCCTTCTTGCTTGCTTTCATAAGCCATCTAGTGTAAAAGGACAACGGTTTCTCGACGCCCATTTCAACAATCTGGTCACATAGAAATTCATAGGCGCTGCGTCTGGCAACTTGGCCGATAGTCTTCAAACCGAATAGCATGAATATCCATTTCATTCTCCAGCTGTTTGAGGTATGCACCTGTCAAACGGATATGTCGTGGAAACAGCTTGTGTACACGTGACTTGTATTCCTTTTCCAGATGTAGATCCTTTTTATCTTGTATACTGTTTCTAGGGGCACATGGTTGATTTTTGTCAATGATTTTTATGTTTAGGGATTCTTAACTGGTACAAGAGACCGCACTTTATTTACCACAGCCGGGATACGACTTGTTACAGGTCTCTTTCTGGGTGGTCCTGGTGGTCCAAGTTGGCCCATACTCCTTTGTTGTCCAATGCCATTAATTACAAGGGTTATCCCTCGGAAACTGTAAATACTCCGATCTATGCACATTTTTATGATCTGAGGGTATAAATATTTTGTGTCGAAAAAGGTTGTTACGTACCTTTCTCAAAGTGACCAGTTTTCGGTGGCATCATACTACCTATGCTTGTTTGTTTGTTATGGATTTCGCGCAAAACTACATGAGGCTATCTGCGCTAGCCGTCCCTAATTTAGCAGTGTAAGACTAGAGGGAAGGCAGCTAGTCATCACCACCCACCGCCAACTCTTGGGCTACTCTTCTACCAACGAATAGTAGGATTTACCGTCGCATTATAACGCCCCCACGGCTGAAAAGGCGAGCATGTTTGGTGTGACGGGGATTCGAACCCGCGACCCACATATTGCGAGTCGATCACCCTAACCACCTGGCTATGCCGAGCCCACACTACCTATGCAATACCAATTAAGGTCAAAATGTATTTATGATATATTCCGTTCCACCGCAACTTTACATTAGCTGTTTTGTTGTCACGTGATTTGCATATTAAAAATCGTTTTAACATAACATACTTAGCCCTCATAATAATAATTAGGATGCCTTAAATTAGCCGAGCTTAAGATATTTTTGTTAGTCCTAAATCTATATATTAAGCTGAGTATGCAAAATATTCTTCATTTTTACTAATAAATAATGATAAAATTCAAGAGTTTTAAAGATAATAACCAACAAACCTTGTAAATACAAAATAGGATCGAATCACTTTATCTTCACCTTCCTTTTGGCGTTGATGCGAGAACTATAAACCAAAGTAAGCGTACTACGAGCAATTTAAGTCAACGTAAAACTATATTAAGCAACAGAGCATTTTAACATGACAATATCAGGTCTTGTCTTGTTTTGTTTCGATATTTACGTAACAAAAAAGTTTTGTACTTACAAATCTGGAAGAATTGTCGTTTCTTTGGGTTTTGGCATTTCCAAAAGCTGTTTGGATAAAAATTATACTTTGTTAAATAACTAAACATAACAAAAGGCAGAAACACGCGAAACCGTAAATATTAATGTTAAGCGATGTTTTACATGTGGATTTACGGTGCAAAAATCTCCATTTTCACTGTAATATCTAACGTACAATGACTATGAATTCTCATAGGATTACACAATACAGGGTAACTGAAAATTATAAGTAAATACGAGTATAACTTTTAAAATTTGGTTAAAAAATAGATGATAAATATATTAAACAAATTAAAAACGTCTAGAAAACTAAATAACACGCTTATTTGAAGTATCCATTGCTCTTTGAACCTACTAGAATTTTTAATATATTTGTATACATTATCATTTTCGTAAATATATTTGATGCTAATACAAATCTCTCACAAAACGTCTGCTTTATTTAATGAAGAAAAACCAACGCACTAAATTCCTCTGAAAAACAAAAATCTGTACTTTTCGAAAACACTCCGGTTATCAAGTTTCTTTTATTGTGATGCATCTACTTATTATATATTTGTGTTTTATAACTGTAATAAACAGAGGTATGAGATTATAATATACTTATGACCTACACGGATACTATTAAAGATCCTACTTTTTGTTCTTAAATTAGGCCTTGATTGTGGTACTCCTTTTTCTTTCTTTCCAGTTATTTTCCGGCAGTAATAAAGACAGAAAATAATTGATTTGGTTTGCTTTGAATTTCGCGCAAAACTACACGAGGACTATCTGCGCTAGCTGTCTCTAATTGCAGTGACAGACTAGAGTGAAGGCAGCTAGTCAACACCACCCACCGCCAACTCTTGGGCTACTCTTTTACAAACGAATAGTGGGATTGGCCGTCACATTATCACGCCCCCCACAGCTGAAAGGGCGAGCATGTTCGGTGATGGGGATTTAAATGCGCGACCCTCAGATTGTGAGTCGAGCGCTTTAACCGAGACCATGCGGCCAACACCCAATAAGCTAAGACATTTTATGTTGGTGGTGATGAAGTGTTTGATAGTATTCACTAGTATAATAATATTTAGTAATCAATCGGCCTTATATATTTACTATCCATAGGTAGTTATCTTGGATGATAAAACAAGGTGATTTTTCATTTTATTCACGAACTAGAAATGTTAATCTCCCATTCTCTCCATTTAGAGTACTGCTTCATTCTCCAGCTACCATAAGCACGAAGAGACAGATTATTGTACGCCACGTGCATGTAAAAACTTAACACTGAATAGTTTTAAATAATGTGTTAGGCTGAAGTCAAAGTTCTCCATGATTCAAAATATATAATTGAACACTCAATACTTAAATTTAGTGTTTGATTTATTAAATTGTTGACTAACACTCGTTAACGTAACCCACAATTACCCTCCGTCTTTTGTTTCTCCTAACCCTAAAACATATACTCACCTTCTAAGACTGGAATGGACTGAAGAAGTTGTTGTTTGATGGATACAAGCTCTTTCCGTTTGTGAGATACCTCTGCCACATATTGCATTACAATCTTGCTAGCTTCTGTAAGAGATATTAAAAAAATAAAATTCATAAGAAAGTAAAATACTGAACGTTTGACAACAGTACATTTTTCGATCTATATCTAATATTGAGTTATATTGTGTCCAGCTGTGTATTAAGCTTTTTATATATTATCAATATTTACAACATTTCTCTTTACGTATAGGAGTTCTCGGTTCAAACCAGAGTTTTCCAGAGACTGTGAAGTCACGGTTTCATGGTTCACGTTTCGTTGGAGGAAACGTACTCCGCAATTTTGGGTTGTGTGTGTGCGTTATAAGTGAGGAGGTCAAATCCTACTATTTGGTCAGAAATTTATAGTTCAGAAGCTAGTTGGTTGTTTTGCACTCCCTCTAGTCTATATCAGTTGAAAATTAGGAATGGTTATAAACAGATAGCCTTTGTGCAGCTTTCCGTGAACAAATGTAAAAACAAAACAAAAACAACCAGATATAAAGTTTGTTTTGTATATTACCTCTACTTACATTAAAAATCTTCGTTTTACCTTTATCTATAGCTATGAAACTCATTGTAAAATAAAGCTAACTATACTTCTGTGATCTCCGTTCCTCGACAGATGTAAAACCCATGTACTGTGTACAATTTGCTTTTTGTTATTAATTCCTTTACATTTTCAAACATACGCGAATAAGGTGTAAAGAGATTTTCAATAGATATATGGTATTTTACTGGCAAATGTTTTATTTATTCTCAAGTCAATTTTTCTAGCTTCTAAGAAAGTCGGAATTTGATTTGTCACTACTGAGCAGCATTCAATAATTAATTTTTTTCTAACCAGGATTGGATGAATTAATTCGCTTATAAAGTCTCTTAAATGAATTTTAATCAAACAATAATATTTTATCAAGCTTTACAATTAGGTTTACTAATTTTCTAAAACTTATTTATACGTAAAGTAAATAGACACTAATAAGAGAGGAAGGTTTGTTTTCTTTGTTTGTTTTTGAATTTAGCGCAAAGGTACACGAGGGCTATCTGCGCTAGCCGTCTGTAATTTAGTAGTGAAAGCCTAGAGGGAAGGCAGCTAGTTATCACCACCCACCGCCAACCCTTAGGCTACTCTTTTACCAACGAATAGTGGAATTGACCGTCACATATAACGTCCCCAAGGCTAAAAGGCTATATCCTCTATATCTATGGAGAGTTGTAATTGTCTTGGCCATTACTTTTATATCCGTGGAGAATTGTGACTATCTTGACTATTACCTCAATGTCCATATGGACATTGAGGTAACAGCTAAGACAATTACAACTCTCCATGGACATTGAGGTAACAGCTAAGACAATTACAACTCTCCAGAGAGTTGTAATTGTCTTAGCTGTTACCTCTATATCCATGGAGAGTTGTAATTGTCTTAGCTGTTACCTCTATATCCATGGAGAGTTGTAATTGTATTGGATGTTACCTCAATGTCCATGGAAAGTTGTAATTGTTTTGGCTGTTACCTCTATATCCATGGAGAGTTGTAATTGTATTGGATATTACCTCAATGTCCATGGAAAGTTGTAATTGTTTTGGCTGTTACCTCTATATCCATGGAGAGTTGTAACTGTTTGGATGTTACCTCAATGTCCACAGAGAGTTGTAATTGTCTTGGCTGTTACCTCAATGTCCATGGAAAGTTGTAATTGTCTTGGTCATTACTTTTATATCCGTGGGGAGCTGTGACTGTCTTGACTATTACTTCAATGTCCATGGAGAGTTGTGACTGTCTTGACTATTACCTCTATATCTATGCAGTGTTGTAATATTTTGTGTATTATGTATAATCTGATCTATAACTGTATCTTTCTTAAAGTTTATCATTATTATTATTTGTAAGAATGGAAGTCTCCTTTTTTAAGGCTGTCTTTACCTTAGACATAGCCTCAAATTGAACTTATGATTGCCCTTTACTTTTATTCTCACTTCGGTAGTTCTGTTTTGGTTTCTCTTTGTTTTAGATGTACACCTTCTTCGTTCTTTATCTTTCCTGCTTTTTAATTTAGTGCTGACTTTAGATTTAAAGAGTCTAAATAAAAGTATCTAGTGGTATACACTATTAAATATTCACAGGCGATATTTTAAAACTATTTTCCGTTTCCGTTCTAACTTCACTACTTAGAAAGTTGATGTTAAATATATACTGAAATGCGGTCGATGGTTTTTCGGTTTAAAAACATTGGCTGTTTTAGGATTACATTGAAATATACGTAGGTTTAATGTACAAGACGTTAAATTTATAATCACCGTGTAATAATCATTGCGTCAAAGATAAAAGTATCAAATAACGATATATGCTCTCTTTGTTTGTAGTTAAGTACAAAGCTACACAACGGGCTATCTCTCCTGTGCCCACCACAGGTATAAAACCCCAGTTTTTAGCGTTATTAACCTTCAGAATTACCGCTAAGCCACTGGGGACAACAAATATGATTATACTGCGTAATATTATTATGGGTAAACTAGGGGTCATAGGTTGAATACCCACAATTTCCTATTTTTTATTATTTCCTAAATTGTTTATATATATATTTATGTATCCGCCTAGCCATAAACTCAGATATTAGCACCAAGAAAGTTGGTATTTTTTTCCGTCACTAGTACCAAACTAAAGCTGGTAACTTAATTTTTTAATTCAAGATACCCGTTATAAAAACGTATTGCATCTTATTTCTTTTTTTAAAGCTTTTATGTAATGACGATTTTTGCCCAACTTAATAATTATTTCATTTGATTCATTTAGTAACTGTACTTATGCCCGATGATGTTAATTAGTTTGTTTGTTTTGAATTTCGCGCAAAGCTACACGAGGGATATCTGCGCTAGCCGTTCCTAATTTAGCAGTGTAAGACTAGAGGGAAGGCAGCTACTCATCACCACCCACCGCCAACTCTTGGGCTACTCTTTTACCAACGAATAGTGGGATTGACCGTCACATTGTAACGCCCCCACGGCTGAAAGGGCGAGCATGTTCGGTGTGACGGGGATTCGAACCCGCGACCCGCAGATTGCGAGTCGAGCGCCCTAACCACCTGGCCATGCCGGGCCGATGTTAATTAGAATCGGAATTTTCTACGTAAACGGCACTTAACGAACATGTGCATGGGCTAAATGGCCGGTCAAGAGATTCCCATGATTCAGGTATAGCCGTCCCTAATTTTGAGCTTCTGGCCAGCGGAGAGATAGTCAACCAGCAGCATTTGTAGCCAAAAGAGCTATATACCGCTCTTCGAACCAAATAAAGGGATTGATAGTCGTTGCTATAATGCGCCAACAGCTGAAAGCGTGAAGTGTGTTTAACTTCTCGATCTGCAGCCCGATATGCACTGCTGATTTCTTCTAAATACCTTACCAATAGATCCGTAACGATAAAAACACTATCTGTAGCCTGTAAAACAGGAAGCTCTGATTTATTCTAAATACCTTACCAATAGATCCATAACGATAAAAACACTATCTGTAGCCTGTAAAATAGGAAGCTCTGATTTATTCTAAATACCTTACCAATAGATCCGTAACGATAAAAACACTATCTGTAGCCTGTAAAACAGGAAGCTCTGATTTATTCTAAATACCTTACCAATAGATCCATAACGATAAAAACACTATCTGTAGCCTGTAAAACAGGAAGCTCTGATTTATTCTAAATATCTTATGATTAGAACTGGAGTTATCGGAGCACTGTCAATACACATAATGCACGTGGCTGTGATTTTTCCAAATTGCCTTACCGTTAAACAAGTTAAAGATAGCATTTATGAAATCGTACAACTTAGTAATAACCTGTTTTTCCAGCCCCACTTTCACCCGTAATGATAACACACTGGTCTGTATTCCTGTCTAGCATGGAACTGTAGGCGTTGTCTGCAACAGCGTATCTGAAAATAAAAAAAATATGTTTACTTAAATATAGTAAAATGGAAATTATTTCACCATTTTCTGATTTACCGGGTAGGATTGGCGAAGTGTTTCTATTTCAACCATTGATGGAGTACACTGGTAAGAAAAATTTGTGAATGTTACATAACAGTATCAATTAGATATATTTATACACACGTAGCTGGAAGTTGATTGATTAATCAGTATTGCGGAAAGCTTTGAGACAATTTGTAGCACATTTGGCAAAAATGTGTAAACAGTTACCCAGTCAACAATCTAACGTAGTTGAGTTCGATTACTTTGAGGTACAACGGTTCAGTAAGGTGGAATATTTTTTAGGGGTGGTGGGGATGATGCTTCTCTTTTTTTTTAACATAACTAGGGCAAGAGGAAAACTTCAGAGCATAACAATTTAAACAATAAGTTGAAAGATAATTGTGTCAGATTTGAAGATAAACATGCAGTAGTAGGGTCAAGAAGAAAGTTAGTTGTTACTATTTAGGAGTACAATGAAAAATAAAACCTTACCTGAAATGGAAGACTATGATATAATAGGACTTATTTGGTTAAGTTCGAAGATATTGATAATACGAATTATATGAAATTCCAAGCCGTAAGTCATTAAGTGGTTATAGATTTTTTCAAAGGGGGAGGGGGGAGGTAGATATTTATATAAGGATGAACTACAGCCTATTAGGACTGACAACATAAAATATAACTATCATGGAATCCTTAACCCTAACTCCCCTCTCTTTCATACAAAGTTACACAAAAGGTCATCTGTCTGTAGCCTTCCCTAATTTTGAACTGATATATAGAGGTAAAGTGGATAGTTAATAGCACTCACCGCCATTTCTCGGGCTTCTCTTTCTGATCAAATAATGGGATTTCACAGTTACTCTTATAATGCACCCAAGGTCCCAAAGTGCAGAGCGAGGATTTTCGCCAAAGGGGACACGAACTAGGAATACTCATATCACAGTTCTGGCATACTAACCAGTAGACCACGCCTGGTTTACTTTTCGTACAAATTCCATTTCATGTCATATACGGAAATAACATACAAAGTCTAATTTTGTTACCTTGAAAACTTCAATTTCATTAGATATATAGAGAAACAGTATTGATCAATATGGGAATTCGTCAGGAACAAAATTCAAGGTTGTAGTAACTGATGACAATCTCTTTGATCATATTCACAAAATCTTTCTTAAATAACAAGAAAAATACAAAACATAGATGTTATACATAATGGTGTTATTTTCATTTCGTTAAAAACATACTAAGTGTTAATGTTATTTTGACCAAAATTATACTCTTGCATTTGAAAAAAATGAAATGGTCTTGAAGCTCAGCCATTTGCGTTAGCCATTTTAACAAGAGTCCTCATGGATACAAGGTTATACAATCGTAATTACATGCTTCAAAAAAAATGAAGGTGGTTAAAACTGCACAATAAGTAAGCAGAATAATGTAATATAAGTAAAAAAGAAAAATACTTTACTGGGCGACGTTTCGCTGCTGCAAAGATTGACTTGACACATATAACGTTTTCCTTGAAACGTCTCCCAATAAAAGTTGTTGTTTCTTACTTAGGTGATATTATATCGCTTATTTACTTTATACATGGTTAGTGTCATGTTGTCTATATGTCAATAACTCTAAGATATTCCCTGTACATGGCTAGTGTCGTGTTGTCTATATGTCAATAACTCTAAGATATTCCCTGTACACGGTTAGTGTCATATTGTCTATATGTCAATAACTCTAAGATATTCCATCTACATGGTTAGTGTCATGTTGTCTATATAAATAACTCTAAGATATTCCCTGTACATGGCTAGGGTCATGTTGCGTATACCAATAACTCTCATATATTACCTGTACATGGTTAGTGTCATGTTGTGTATACCCTGGGGGTGTGTTAATCAATTAATCAAGAACGAATAGATTCAATAGCACTAGATTTTTGTAGTGAAATTTTGTTAACTTTTCTTTTCTCTGCGCAGATTAATTAGTATTTGCTCGCTTTTTTCCTTATTCTTAGTGAAAATGCTGTTATTGATTAACAGTTCCCGTCTCACATAATGTCAGCAGAAATTATTCTTGTCTGTGGATTTGGTAATATAAAACACTGCAGTAATGATTTCATCCTAATTTACACGAACATAAATAAATCAGTGAAAATGATTAAGTTGGTTATCCTAATCCCAAAGGCCTGATCAGTTTTCTTCGAGCGTGTATTTTTTACGGTAATTCATCGAGGTGTGGCACTTTTCAGATTTATGAGCTACAAATCGAACAGGGCGTAATCCTTTTTTGCATAACCTTTTGTGTAAAACCACTTGCTTTGATTAGCATTTTCTCTCCTTAAGACGTCCTGCGTTATAAATGGATAAAGTTTAACAATTCCCAAAGGAAAATAAACACATTTTTGTTTCAATGTAAAAATATTTTTTATTTCGTATTTTGTATATTTTAGTCTATCTTTAAAGTTTAAATGTAGTTGAACAAACTGTCGGGGTAATTTGGAAACATACTACTTAGGAAGCTAAAGGTACATTTAAAAAACATTTGAGTATTTTGCCTATTAATCACGACATTGGAATCGCTTAAAAATACATAGGTCCATACCAAAGCGTTATAAAAGGAACGCCAATTTTCAATGTGAACGACATTATATTTGCACTTGGGCTAAACAAATAGATCAGAAAACCCTAGGATTCAGCTGTGCCTAATCTGAAACTACTGACCAGAGAAAAGGTATCCAACTAGCAGTAGCAGCTGTTGCCACAAAGGCTTTATCAGGCTCATCACACCGAATAGTAAGTAGAATTAACTGTCGTTTTTATAACGTTACCACAGCCGAATGTGCGGAGCGTGTTCCGCGGCATTCATGTCTCGAGCCTTGGTTAGTTAAATCTACAGCTATAGCGCATTGAATGATAAAAAAATAAAGTTGAATTTAACTAGGAGCCTGTAAAAAAGTAAACCTCCCATCTGTCTACACACCCAATCATTACAACAATAATGTATATATATATATATTTGCAATAGAAGCAGACAGATGCGTATATGTACGTCTGGATTTCAGTTTTAATTATTATAACCTACTAACTTAAATTCATAATAAGAGTCAACTATCCCGTATTTTATTTTATCGAAGTCATTAAGACTGCAGTTAAGATGTTCAAGTTAATATCATCAGTGTACGTCTCCTAATGCGTTACAGTTATTGAAAATCTTTCTAGTTCTTTCTCTACATATCATTTGGAAACATTAAAACGTCCATATCTAGCAGGAAGTTAATATTAACCGTATTTATTACTAGCCTTGTTGTCCTATTTCCTATACTTGCTACTCTGAAATATTTTTTGAAAGTACATTAGTGAAACATTTTGAAAGAATTAACATCAAGATTCAGGATGGTACATAATACACAGCTATAGTCTTGAGTTTAAATATAAAAAAAAAATGTTGTTTTTTTTTCCGACCATACTGACATTTATGGTATACTTCCCTATTAATGGATTTGAAATATAACATGCCGGAAAGAATACTACTCACATGTGTGGCGGGAGTTCGAACATGCTGCAACGCCTGTAGGCTTCTATAATATTGGTAGTGTAAAGGGCCAGTTTTTTGTAGGGGTTAACTGAGATCACGACTGTTCCTATGTACGTCTAAAATAGAAAAAAAGACAATTCTTATATTATTAATTCAAATTCTCCTCACTCCAATACTTACCGTAATACCGATTTCGTTTGTAAAGCTATTTATCAGCAATATATAGTAATTTCAGACGTATTACATGTACACATATTTATAAAATGAACTAAAATCATTATACGTGTACAGAGAAATTTATAAAATTATATGTACATTGTTTGTTTGTGTAGTTAAATTTTGCGCAAAGCTAGCTACTCGGGGGCTATCTGCGCTAGCCGTGCCTAATTTTGAAGTGATAGGCTAAATGGAAGGCAGCTAGTTAACACCTCTAAATGCCGACTTGTGGGCTACTATATTCAAATAGTGGGATTTTACCATCACTCTCATAACACATCCAAGGTCCTAAAGTGCGGAGTTCGATGATACTGTACGTGGTTACGAGGCACGAACCACGGATCTATTCAAATAAAATTACCCAAAACAAAGCAAGCCTACCGCCAAGTATTCGCAAATGCCAGTCGAGCATCTTAAACATTTATTAGAAAATAAGTGACAAAGATTAAGGCGTGCAGCAGATGAATCAACTAACCAATTGGTTCTGAGTTATACAACTGACACAGGCATTCTCAACTAAGAGCAACTTGACATCCTTTCGAAGATACCTTTTTTGGAGGATGGCGGTGGATTTGTAATAATACTATACCTAGAGGCAGGCCTGGAAAAGACATGAAAGACGTTATCTTATATATTATTATATAGAAGAAAGATTTATAAAAAGCATAAAATAAGATCGTTACCCCTTTCAACTAGAAAGAGAATTCAGAAATGATGTAACATACTGGTAAGGAAATGGTTCATTACTGCACAGCCTTATAAAACTTGACCACATGCAACTGAATCAAACATTCTCTATATTAATTAAAAACACAGCTAAAAATAATATAATTTTTAAAGATAATTTAAAAAAGTAGATTTCGTTTTACTTCGTAAATAATGTTTTTATTTAAAAGGAATAGTACAAACATATCCTTGCACTTTTACGTTTCTAAAAAACAACAAAAACCCTTACACGTTTTGATTGTTTGTTTGTAATCAAGCACAAAACTACACAATGGGCTATCTGTGCTCTGCCCACCACGAGTATCGAAACCCGGATTCTAGCGTTGGAAGTCCGCAGACATACCGCTGTGCCACTGAGAGGCTACACGTTTTGAACTACAGGAATACACTTGGGATACTTTTAGAACTTTAAATTATTTCGTACATAATGCACACATCATTTTATCATCGAGAGTAACACTTGCATTATTTCTGTATTTTTTTCAGCTAAAGCAAAAACATTTTGATTCTTAAAAAAAAAAAAAAATCCTCCAGCAAGTGTCTACTATATTACCACTTTCAATTTGAATAGACTGAAGAAAGATCTTAACTTCCGCTCGTTAACTTATAACAAAGAGAACTGCTTTCTTATTGTTCACTTGATAACTGAATTATCCATTTCAGCGCTCAGTTACAGCCTCTATCAATGACTCTTTCGGAATGATAACAGTCAACAAGCGATTTAAATCTTTTAAAAAGGTATCTTTTAAATGTGAATCCGAAATTCGAAACTGACATATATGAGCTAAGTGAAACAGTATCTATCATTCTGTAACTTTAAGACAGTTTCGAATCGAGAGTTTTATGTTGAGAATTTGGTAATTTACTGTTGTTGTTTTTTTTATGAGAAACATAGGGCAGGGGGAAAACATTATTTTCAGTAAAGAATGCATGTTTCCATACTTTAATCTTTTGAATTAGTAATTTTAGGAAAACAAGCTATTTGCTTATAATTTAACCAATAAACTGATTCGTCAGACATATAGAAAAGAAAGAGCTTTAAGCGTTCATAAATGCTATAAAATCATGTCAATAATTGTTAAAATATCGAATACACGATGCTGGTCCGGCGTTCATCTTTTATTTATAGTAAAACTAAATTAAATAATCACCATTCTTGAAAGCATATACATTTGAAAATTGGTCTAAAACGTGAACGAAGCATGCGTATAATAACTTCAAACTATGTCGGATAAGTAACATTGTCAACTTCTAGTACATTATAAGTAATTGTAGACACATCCAGTCATATTTGATGTTATTACCCTCTCAAAGAAAGGTCAAGACTGGTTGAAGTCTCGGATCTAACTCGATATGCACCTTCAGACTAGAATAAATAACAGTATGCATGATATTCAAGTTATTTTTCTCTGATGTACCGTTTTTGAATAAATGATATGTAAAAAAAAGTTAACAGAAAGTGACAACAACAGCTGTGAATATCTAAAAATTGAGCTAAAAATTGAAACTGGATTTTTTGTTCAAAGTTTGATCTCAAAGTGAAACCAACATAGCTTTTAAAGCAAAAGCCATTCAGCTAGGTTTTAGGTTTTGTGTTTAGTGCTAGGTGATTTATTTTTGTCTTATAAATTACTTTAAAACATAGCTATAAAATATTGTTAAAAGTATTTCATGTAAATCCGGAAAAGACGGAATTACAAGCTTGAACTATAAATATCCTAACACTTCAGTGCATATAAAAATATTAGACATATGCTGAGAAACCATGAGGTAAAACGTGTTGCTTTACATAAAAAAAAATCTGATTTAATATCATAAACAAAAAAGGACGAAAAAGAATATAATGTGGAACGAAAAAATTGATAAAAACATAATTTATTATATTTACTTCTGGTATTATAGTTCCTGCATGAATATATATACAGACATAGATGGATCGATAAGTTTCAGGAATATAGTTATTTAAATGTTTACTGCAGTATCTGTAGACAGGTAAACTACGTGTTAATATACTCTTAAAAACTCACACATAGAAATAGGAAATAAAATATAAAAATCTCTCATAAATTATATACTCTCCAATTTCTAATCTATTGGAGTAATTCCAGAACAAAAAAAAACAAAAAAAAACACACACAACGTATTTCTGGTCTTTTAACCAGGTCGATTTTTATGTATAGGAGTCTGCGTAGCACAGTTGTATATGTAAAACCCTGTTGAAACCAGCAAAATACATCGGTTTTATTATTCTACGTTATCTCTTCATCATGATGGAGTTGATCTGGAAATCTCTTGTGGCAATACTATATATTTCAGGATCTGCAGAGCTGTAAATGCGTGGTATACAGTGCCCACATACATTACAGTAAATCAAAGACAAGCAAGACAAAACCTGATTTTCATGACATGTAGAATTTTAAGTGTAGTAGTCAGGTGAATTACAGTATTGAGAAATCGAACACAAGAAGACGATAAAACTTCGGTTTCATAATCTCCAGGGTTGTAAGTGCATGTAACCATGTAGATTACAGTAAAATGGAGGATAATAAATAGAGAAGCAGATTAAACCAAGGTTTTAGAAACTGCGGGGTTGTAAGTGCATATAGTGATAATTTGGAATTACGGTAAATCAGAGACAAGAAACATATAGGTGAGACAGTCAGAAACTTATATGTCAGTTTCTTAATTTAATATTTCCTTTGTATTCAATTAAAAGACAACTTCCAAGAATGCAAATACAAAGCGTGATAAGACATTGAAATTTGGGCATCATACCAATTCTTATACTCTGAATCAAGTTAAGTTTCCGTTCTGCTCTATCAGACAAGGCAAGTTGCTTGGCTAAACGGAATCCATGGAGTTTTTTATTTTTAGAAGTAGAAACAAGGGAAAAAAAGTATTTTAGCGAGCAATAGGGCAGGATCATATAACATGATGTCGTTTCAACTGAATCATCGAATCACGTAATTAATCAAATAAAGAAATGAGGACGCAGTACTAAGAAAAATCGCTTTTTATATCCTTATATAGTGAGCAGATGTGCAAATAGTTTGGTCTGTTATGAATTTCGCGCAAATTTACACAAGGGCCATCTGCGTTAGCCGTCCCTAATTTAGCAGTGAAAGACTAGAGGGAAGGCAGCTAGTCATCACCACCCACCGACAACTCTTGAACTACTCTTTTACCAACAAATAGTGGGATTGATTGTCACATTATAACAGATTGCGAGTCAAGCGCCCTAACCACCTGGCCATGCAGGGTCTGATGTGCAAATAAGTCTCTAATTACAGATGCAGAACTATTAAATGACACCAAACTTGAAGAACAAGCTTATACTGATTTACAAAAACCACTAGTTGATTAAAGCTAAGAAATAAGCAGCAACAGCGTGGTTTCCACTTCTCGCTACCTAACAATTAAAGCACTTTTGAAGTTACGTTTGATTGATCAGTAAGTATCATCTGACGGAGACCTACGTTCGGTGGATAACAAATTATGAGCCTGCAGCCTTGTTATCTTCCTCCTACACCAATAATCTAACACTACCTACACTTTATATTCAAACTTGTATTCACTGATCATTTCCCCAGCCGTTTCGATTGGGCCTGGCCTGGCCTGGTGGTTAGGGCGCTCGACTCGCAATTTGTGGGTCGCGGGTTCGAACCCTCGTCAAACCAAACATGCTCGCCCTTTCAGCCGTGAGGGCGTTATAATGTGACGGTCGAACCTACTATTCGTTGGTAAAAGAGTAGCCCAAAAGTTGGCGGTGGGTGGTGTTGACTAACTGCCTTCATTCTAGTCTATCACTTCTAAATTAGGAACGGATAGCGCAGCTAGCCCTCGTGTAGCTTTGCGCGAAATTTCAAACAAACAAACCAAACGTTTCGATTGCAACACGAAATACCATAATCCCCTTTTCCAGCACGTTAACAAAATAAACCGTACTGAATAAGAACAAAGATTTATGGGATCACTATTACAAATATTATTTTTTTTTTTACAAAGATGGTAACAGTTAAAGACACACACACATTCAATTATATACTTATCAGCAGAATAAATATATGCAAGAAGAGAAATAAAATAAAATCTCAGGATTATTAATACACGGCTTTCTATGAACTATCAGATGAAGACTGTAATGCTTGTAAAACAAAAGTTCAAGGAGTAATCA